TTGTTCAGGGGTGTTATTCTGGTTTATACAAACTTGATACAAAGTAATGGATTACAGACAGTACAGGCTTGGACAGGAATGGCATGCGATTGCACTCTGTAACTGATCAGGTTAATATTTTTTTTCTTTACAACTTCACCACGGCTATTTTGATGTTTTAACAATTTAAATGCAATAATAAAAGTGTTACATCATGAATAACTTTTAATCATTGATTTTTTCTGAAGTTTTTATTTTACGCAACGGCTTTAAATAAAACCATAAAAATTAATTATAACGATTGTTTACATAAACACTTGTGTAAATTAATAAAAAATGTTGCAAAAATTTTTTTTTTATGTAAGCATGTATTTTTATAATAAATTTAAATGTTTGAAACTAATTTTCCATATCTTCCTGAAAATCTTTTAAACCATTATTATTGGAAAGAATTTTTTTTAAGTTACTTTAATTTATGAATAAGTTCAAAACCTTTTGTGACTACTAGCTTTTACACATTTTATGTGAATTATACAAGAATATAAAATAACTTTATTTAGTTATATAAGAATGTACTTTTTGTTGATTATTGATTTTGTTGATTTTGGAAAAGTTTTGAAGCAATTTGTAATGTTCATATGATTAATTTTATAATTGAACTTATGTTTTTTTATTTTTTGAAAATAAATAATTTTTTTTTACAATTACAATAGGAATGATCGAGTTTAAATCTTGTAAAGTGATTTTTACTTGAAGCGCTAATTAATAAAGTTGTAATGCTCAAATTAAAATCAAATTAGATTGCTTGTTGGCAGTTTATTTTGTTTAAATCACAGGCACACTTTATTATTAATATTTTTCCAATTTTTGCAAATAAAAAAGTTAAAAGCCTTTTTTTTTTAACTAGACTAATTAGAGCATGAAATTATTAAAAATTACTATTTTAGTTTATATTTTTAAACAATTTTTTTTATATTTTTTTGAACAAAATTTATTTTTTAAATTGCATAAGCATTTATTTTTTCTTGCAAAATTTTTTTTGCAGAAAAAATAAATGCTTATGCAATTTAAAAATATTATATTCAACACTTTTTATTAAATTTGATAAAATTTGTTCATTTATTAAACAATCATTATTAGTAATTTGTTTAAATTACTACTAATGATTGTTTTATCAAAGTTACGCAAAACGCTTTTAAATTAAAAAATTAATTTAAAAGCGTTTTGCGTAACTTTAATAAAATTTAAAAACGTTACAAAAAGTTTCGCTATTAGTTTAAGTTTTTTTTTTTTTTTTTGGTGCTTATTAATTTCTTTTTTATATAGAATTTTTTTTTTTTTTTTGTTGTTGTTGTTGTTGTTAGAAATTTTTTCATTAGTTTATTTTTTTTTTTAACTTTTTTCCTAGTTTAAGTTTAACTTAGTGTTTCTACATCCAGCGCATTTCTGAAATGTCAAAACATATAAAGAATCGTGCTCAAGTTGTCAAAAAATAAAATCATTCGCGTGGTCAGCAATAACTCTTAATTGCACACCATTCATGTCCAAGCCTGCAGTATGGTAAATAAACAAAGTTGGGGAAGAGATAAGGTTGCAGCAAAAATATTTATAAAATTAAAAAAAACTTTCATAAGTTTTTTTATTTCGTTTTTTTAATGAAAAGGGGATAGGCTTTGACATCCCATCACATCTGAGTAAGTTGTGTTTGTATATTATAGTGTGTTACTACCTGCATTTAACATAAGTGACCTAAAAGTTTAATAGTTATCGAAGTCTATGAGTTGATGAATTTACAACGGAAAAATCTCAGATGTCCAAAATGAGTGCCCTGTCTTTAAATCGAAAAGTTGTAAAATTCTTTGTTTTTAGCAAAAAAAACTGCATTTATATGTTACATTAGAATTAAAATGTCATAAAAAAACACTTTTATATAAATACATTACCAATAAAAAGATATCTGATGTCTCCGAACACTAAATTTTATTTTTCTCAAAATAAGAAAAAAAGTGACATCTGTGGTTTTACCTGTGTGGTCTACATATACAAATATATGAACTGAAATAACTGAAATGTCAACACATTAAAATCAATAGGAAATTAGTTCATAAGTTAAAAAAAAAGTAATCTTTTAAAATCAAATAAAAAAATTTGATTAATTGATGAAACCCTGATAAAACCAAAAAGATAATGCCGCAATATGCTTCCATTTGCAAAGTTCTACATATATGAATGCAACATTACATACAAACTGATGACATCATTACTGAAGTAGGTAGCTGTGAGGGCTTCAGTACATACATCGACAATAGGTAGTAAATGAATAAAGTGCTGCTACATAGACAGCAATTGTTTTTTTAATTATTATTTGCTTTTTATTCTTTTTCTGAAAAATATAAGCACAGATTTTATGAATTAAAGCACACAAAACATATTAGACAAATGGATCCTTACATACATAATATCAGTTGTGTGTAATTGTTATTGTTGCTAATCATGCTAAATCAAAGATTGATTTGACATGATTTAGAAGTTTTACATTATTTTTGTAACATTTTTTAAAAGATATATATTAAAATTATTTAAAAAAAAAAATTATCAGACCTGGGCCAATTTGAAAAGCTGTAACACTTGCTAATGTTGAAACCACTGCTAATACTTTTGCCCACGAAGCACTTTTCTAAAAAAAATGAAGAATCAAAATTGATATTATGTCCATTAGATTACATAAATAGACTAAGAGTTTGATTAAGTTAGTATTTAAAAAGCTACATACATCTACTAAGGGTTTGTGTTAAACAGGCATTATCTACCTTTAAATAATAAAAAAAATTGTTTCTTTTTTTAATGATTATACATTACCCAGTCAGCATATACACACACGCACACACATACAAAAACATGCATATACACACATGTGTATGTGTGTAAATGTGTGTGTGTAAAGATTTCTTTGTTGTAATAAAACAATTCATACCTCAACAAAAACTAGTGACACAGTAACTATTGAGTAACATACAACCATTCCCCCTAAGCCAATTAACATCAACCTTCTTCTACCAGAAACCTCTACTAAAACAACCTTAATTGAATTTAAAATTAAATTAATCATTTTATAATTATAAATTTTACTCTTTTAAGTTCTTTTGTAACAAAATAGATCACTTAATAAACTACACTTAAAACTTACTGTTATTCCAGTCATTACAACACTCAACGCACCAACACCGCAAGTTGCAGCAGGGCCATTTTTCTCATCCATACCAAGTTTAATAAACAATGAAGTTGAATATGATAAAATCTTTGAAAAAAAATTTAATTAATTTTCAAACTATTCTGATTATATTTTTCTACTTTAAAATTTCATAAATATGCAAAAGAAATTCAATATATTACAACTTTGTTGAATATAAAAATATTAATTCTACTACTGTTAAATTGGTGTAAATCATTTTTGTCAGACCGAACACAGAGGGTTGTGATAGGGGAATATATTTCAAGTTGGAAGATGGTTACTTGTGGAGTACCACAAGGTTCAGTACTCGGACCTCTTTTGTTTGTAATCTTTATTAATGACTTATGTAGAGGGATTATTAAAGACACTAAATTATATGCAGACGATACCAAAGTTATTTCAATCAATCATTGTTATGATGATAATAAAATATTACAAGAGGATATTAAAAGGTTAGTTAAATGGTCTGAAGATTGGTTAATTACATTTAATGAATCAAAATGTAAAGTCATGTATATTGGCAAAAAGAATCCAAGATATGAATATAAATTGAACAACTCTGTTTTAACAGAAACAATGATAAAAAATGATCTTGGGATTTTCATTTCAAATAATCTAGAGTGGAAATATCATATTAATTCAGCTATAGGTAGAGCAAACAGAAAATTAGGCATGATCAAAAACTCTTTTGAGTATTTGGATGAATTTTCATTAAAGTTACTATACAAATCGTTAGTACGTCCCCATTTGGAATATGGAGCAACAGTTTGGAGTCCATTTTGGAAAAAAGACATTGACAATCTTGAAATCGTGCAACACAGGGCTACAAGAATTGAATCTTTAAGGGGGAAGTCGTATGAAGAAAGATTAAAGATACTTGAATTGCCAACTTTGTTTGATAGAAGAAGAAGAGGTGATCTGATTCAAATGTATAAGATCTCAAAAAGGAAAGATATTGTTAATTTTCACCACCCTCCTTTAAATTTTGAGCTGGAGCGATCTAGTAGAAGTAACAATTGTAGAATACGCAGATAATTTACAAAATCAAGAATTCGTCACCATTTCTTTACAAACAGAGTTATAAATGATTGGAATTCTCTTCCACAATGGATATTAGATAAAGATAATTTGAACATTTTTAAAAACAGTATCAATAATTATTTCGGATTCTGAACACTAATTTTTGTAATCGGCTATCATAGTCTTAATTCTACGTAATTAAGACTCTACACACCTCAAGTGTGTACAGCACCTTTTCTATTCTATTCTATTCTATTCTAATATTTGATAAAAGTAGTAAATAGAATGTTATTAACATTGAATAATTAAAAACTTACACCACCAATGCCTGAGAGCTGTTGTGAAAGTTGCATTACAATACTGATAATCAATGGTTTACGATAGTTTCGATTCATCAATAACTCCAAAACAGTAGTATGCTTCACAGATGCATCCCGTTCAACATCAAGCTAAAAAAAACGACAACTAAATATCAATTGAAGTTTATTAAATAAATAATAATAGTTTATTAAATAAATAATAATAGTTATTAAATAAATAATAAATAAAATAGCATAACAACAATAAACTATTAATAATAAACAGTTTATTTTTCTTTTAAAAAGATGTTACTTTAATTTCGCACAATTATTTTAATTTTTAATAACCTTATGTATCTTTAAATTAAGAAACATAAATAATTTAATTACTTTTTTCCTTAATATTGCGTTTACATGACTTTCAACAATAATTTAAATATACTTTGTATTTATACTTTTTTTAAAATGTAATCTGTTTTAGCAAACTAAGGCATTTTTAGTCTTTCATTTTTTTGAGTCACATTTTACATTTGGCAAGTATTAAAAAACAGTGATTTTTTTTAATTTTTACTGTTTAAATTTTGAGACAAAATATTTTTATTTTGTTTCAAAATTTAATTTTTAATAATAATATTAATACATGTTTGTTTTTTTAAAGCATATGAAATTTTTGAAACAGGCTTGGGTATGCTTAAGGAAAAAGTTAAAAGAGGCTCAAAAATATGCTTAAACTTAAGCATATTTAAAATAAAATATGCTTATTTCAATACTTCTAAAAATGTGTGCGTTACTAAAGGTTAATGGTTATAAGAAAAATAAAAAGTCGACTTTAGTACAGTATAATAAAAAATAAAAAATATATACTATATACAAATGTGATCAATAAAATAATAAAATAAATAAAATTTGAAATTAATGAAATAATAAAATAAATAAAATTTGAATTTTTTTAATGGTTTATCGAGGCTCAGGAATATGCTTACATATGCTTATTTTTTTTCCAAATCTGAGCCTCCATATGCTTATAAACATTATGCTTATAAAAAAAAAACATGTATATAAAATAATTTAATTTTCAACAATATTATTTACTAAAATTTATATGCATGCATGCATGAATGTATGTATGTATGTATGTATGTATGTATGTATGTATGTATGTATGTATCACGGCTCAATTTAACTGTCGGACATCAGACATTGTCCGGCTAAAACCTCAAATTGTCCGATCAATTTACAAAGTAATTGGACATTTTAACTGAAAGGAATTAAATTCTTTAAAATACTTTAGTATATATATAAAAATTAAAAGTAAAGTAAATTAAAAATAAATGAAAAGCTTTAAAACAAAACTCTTTTTGTTACGTTTTTTATTGCATTAAAATATCTTTTTATTACATTTTTTATTGCGTTTGAAATAAATTACTTTAAAACTTAAAATAATTAAAGTTACGCAAAATGCTTTTACAAATTACTATTGAATGTTTAATAAATAAAGAAATTTTATTTAAATTATTGAAAAGTGAAATTAAATTATTGAAAAGAAAAATATATAATATTTTTAAGTTGTTTAAACATTTTTCAAAAAGTTACAAAAAAAAAAAAAATTGTTTAAAAAAAACAACATTGTCTTTTTAAAATTGTAATTTTTAACCATTTCATTATTTGATTAAAAGTCAAGTTTAAAAAAAACAACAACTTTTAAACGATTTTTTGTAAAAATAGAAGCAAAAAAAAAAAAGCAATTAAATCTTTGGAAGATTTAATTTATTCATAATTTAAAGTAACTTGAAAATAATAATCTTTTAATTAAAGATTTTTAGACTTTTTATGATAAATTTAAATGTTTGAAACTATTTTAAAAATAGTTTCAAATGTTTAAATTTATTATAAAAAATACATACCTACTAAAAAAAAATTAAATGTAACATTTAATTTACACATAATGCGTTTATTTTAAATTATAATTTTTGATTTTATTTAAAGTCTTTAAAAGTTTTGATTTTATTTAAAGTTTTTCAACGCTTTTAAACTTTAAAAATAATCAATGATTAAAAGTTATTTGTAACGTAACAATATTTTTTTATTGCATTTAAATAGTTAAAACTTCAAAAAAGCTGTTGCAAAGTTGCAAAGAATAAAAAAAACATTGTCAGATACCGCATGCTAGTTCAAGTCTATGTAAAAAAACATGCAATATTAAATTGGAACTATTTTATTAAAAAAAAGCGAAAATCAGTGATAAAATATTTAAAACAACTAACATTAAATAAACTTAATAACATGACAAAGATTTCGATTACATAACTAGGTTCCGTAAAACCGTAAAAATTATATTAAAAAAATTTAATTGGATACTGTCCGACCCAATCAAGTTTGGATTGGACATTAATAAAAAATTAAATTGAGCCTTGATGTATGTATGTATATACAACTGTATTCACTTCTCCAAGGAGAGGTCAATACAGCCAAGAAGGTATTTTTTTTATTTTTCAAAACTATTTTCACAACCTCTCAATTAAAAGACTTGAAAGGTAAAGAGCAGCAATATGTTTGTAAAACAATAACTAAGAATAATAAGTAAGAATAATTATAATTTTGAATTTTTATCACTTTTATTTAACTGATGTAAATGTATACCTTTATTGCTTCAACTTCATCATCAACATTTTCATAACCACGAAGAAGTCTTAAATCTTTAATAAAAAACAAAATATAAAAAAAAAATACTAACAATATAAAAAAATACTTACAATGTAAAAGAAATTTAAATCCAATACTTTTTAATAGTTTTAATAAATTCAAAACATTTTAGTTTCAAAAATTACTTGTTATAGCAGCAGAATCTTGTTTATTTAGCAACAAAAATCGTGGACTTTCTGGACAAAATGGAAGTAAACATAGCTGAACAGCAGCAACAACTGCAGTCATTCCAAATAAATATGGCCAGCCTTTTTCAGTGCCTAAAAGCTATAATTAAATTAAAAGATAAGAAATTAGTTTTGAAAACTACAAAAAAATTACCTCGGTTGATCTTGAAAGTTATTCAGCATTACTGTAATTCATATTATATATCTTGTCAAAGATGAAGTAATATATAAATAGGAATTATCAACTTATTAAAAACCTATAATAAAATAAAACAAAAAAAATATATATCATTGAATTAAAAACATTTTTAGATGTTCCTCAAAGTCTTTAAATATTTAACAGGTTCCTATTATTATTAAAAAAAGTTATTCAAAAACAGTTCTTCAAAAGTATGTCAACCTGGGTCTCAAAAATAGCAAAATTATTCCAGAACTTATTTAATAACCCAAATTTTAATAACCATAATTGCTTTATAATAAAAATCTGTATAAAAAAATTATATATTAAAACATAGTTGTTATTTAATAGACCCAGAACAGCAGCAAATATTTTTTTTAACTGAAAACATTTATTATAATAATTATAACATTTATTATAATAATATTTTAGCTCACCATTTTTAAACTCTATATTTCATTATTATTATTATTATTATTATTATTATTATTATTATTATTATTATTATTATTTATAAATATTTATACATGATAGGCTTATCAATATTAAATACTGCTTTCCATAAATATCCTGGTAAAATCAACAAACAATTAATAATATGAGCAACAAAAAAAGTATAAATATTGAAGAAGAAAAAATCACTTAAAAAGATAAAAACCTTAAGAAAATTATTAAAATATTAAATGTTAGAAATGAACAATATAAAAAGAAAGTATTAAAAAGTTAATAAAACTTTATATTTTATAATGAGTTTTAATGAGTTTTTAAACAAGCTGTAATTATCAAATGATCAAATTGAAGTCGTTGTATATTTTTGCACCCATAAAATAAAATCTTTTTCTTCCAAATAATAATTTGAATTTTGAGAGCTTTATCAAGTGAGCTTGGTTTCTAGTGTTAACATTATGAATATTTACAATAAAGTAGTTATTAAAATTAAATCGATTTATTAATACACTGCCTAGTTATTAAGCAAGTTATTAATATACTGCCTAGTTATTAAGCAAGACCAAGCTGTTATAATGTTTACAATAGATGGTTAAGGCTTTGCGCAAACTTTTCCTTTATTAATGATGTCATTTGCCCTTGCATCAACTAATTTTAAAAAAGATAGCTGTGTTTTGGTCATGTATAAGTTGATCAAACCGTTTAGCGTTAATAGGGGCAAAACCATCATTTGGTAAATTCTTAAGCTTGCACCTCTTGTTTAATACATTCTTAACTTTGAAAACAACTTTTACTTTTTTCATTACTTGTATTTTTTAATTGAGTATAAAAAGAGTCATTTAGAGTTGGTAATTGGTATGCATCCAAGATAACAATAGGTAAAATAAATAATTTTGTTGCGGTATAATAATTCAATGGTTCTAGTGTTTGAGAGTTGTTTAGATGTACCGAAAGCATCCATTCAGTTATTCCCTTTTTCATCTCTACATCTATAAACTTCTTATCTGTTGATTTATAGAATACTGTTTTCATATTTTGGCTGATTTTTCTATGGTCTTTTCTAATTTAGACAAGATTTAAAAATGCATTGCAAGTCATATCCAGCAGTCAAGTGTAAGTCTTTGTTTATTTGTCTATCAATATTCAATAGTATGATGGCTGCCATTTAAATGAGCTATCATTTTTGTATCTTCAACCAAAACACAATCTCGTGTGACTTGCCATTCAGCAGTTGCATCTTTTTGCTGTAACTGGTCATTTATTTATATTAGGCCTTCCCGGGACGTGCGCACGACCACATGCCTTGTGCGTCCACACCTCAAGTAATTTTTTAGACAACTTGACGTTTTAATATAGAAAGCATTTTAAGAATTTGCGGCAAAATGAAGCTATAAGAAACTAGAGAAAATAAAACAGTAATACTTGAAGAAAGGAAACAAAGATTATACGAAATAAAAAATCTAATTAAAATAAAATAAAAAAAAATTGAATATTAAAAAAAAAATGTTGTCAAAAAAATAATATACCTAAATATTTTACTGTTTTTGTTTTCTTTTCATTTTAGGGCGTTTGTTCTTTTCAACTACCAAAATTGATAGAAGTCGAGGAAATAAGCAGATAAGAATAACGAAAACAAAAACATTTTTTGATATACAATTTTTTTGTGATTTTTTTCAGTCATTACATTAAAGAAATACTTTATTATTTGCGCTAGAAACATCATCAACTTTTAAATTTGTTTATCAAATGTTTTTGCTAAACTTTACTGTTTTTATCAATGCACAGGGAAGCGAGAAAACTAATAGCTATTTATTTGTAAAAAAAATTGTTTTTTTAAAAACAAGTTTTTAAAAAAACAATTTCATGTGAAAAAACAAAAAGCCATTAATAATTATATTTAAATATAAAATATTTGGTTGTTTTTAACTACCTTCATTGATATAGTTTGCACTTTTGTTGGATTACCCAAATTGTGAATTTAAACCCGATAGCTTATTTCCTGATCATCTGTTGTTATTGACGATGCTCCAAAAGCTTGTGGGCTAGTGCATTGCAAATTTACTAAACTTTTTAACGAAAATTTTAGGAGCCTGTTTAAAACATTTTTGAACATATTTTTAAATAGAGTAATCGCTATGTTCTTTTACTCTAGTAATTCGTATTAACGTTGAAAATTAGGCAATATAAAAGTTAATGCAGTAAATACATTTATAAAATAAACCATGTTGTTATTTTAGTTAATTTATTCTGTATTTGTAACACATTATAATATAATATATGGGCAATTCCACACAGAAAATGAAAAAGTAGTCAAATTTTATTCTCTTTCAACTTGTTATTCTCTTGTCAACTTTTAGCAAATGAATATTGATGTAGAAACATGAAAGTTTATTTAAAATATGTCTTTGATACAAAAATTAATTTAAGTCATTTTTATGCCTTGGAAAATTATGGTTTTTCTAATTGTCGCATGATAAAAAAGGTATCATTGTAAAATATTATTCTAACCATGAATTTATTTTCATAATCAGAAATAAATTAGCGTGAAAATGGACTAACATGTTCAAACTGTTGTTGGTCAGATTTTACACTTTATAAAAAATATATATTTTAAGAAAATAACGAAAGAACTATTGCAATTTTCATGTAACGTAAGTTAACAAAAACATGATAAAGTTTTGTTTTTTATAAAATTTAGTTAACAAACTTAAATTTTTTAATAATAATGCGATTATATTAAATGTTATGTTTTTGCATATTTTACATTTTTAAGTTCTTTAGGTTTTTTTGTTAACAAAATGAATTACGTCATTAAGTAATAAATATTTTTTAAATATAAGAAATATTTGTATTTGTAAAAAAAAAGATTTATTTACTATTCTCCTTATAAAAAAAAAATCAGTTTTTTGTGTTTTTACACAATTTGTTTTAGTAAAACAAGTTGTTTGGAAATGCTATTATGGGTCATCCATAAAGCACGTCACGCTATATTTGTCAATTTTTAACCCCTTTCCTCCTGTACCAAACGATCACATATACCTGAACCCCTATCCCTCCTAAACTGTGATAGCAGTTTTTTGCAAAAATATTTCGAAAGATTTGAATGTAAATATTTTGCAGCATTTTAAAAATTCAACCTAATGAAAATAAGGCAATACGCATAAACATAAGGAGTGTAAGTAAAAACTTCGACAAACCTTCGATTTTCTTATTTAAACGACTCAAATTATTAAAGAGTTGTAAAATAATTTTTAAAACTCTAAAACTTAAAAGTTTTAGAGTTTTAAAAAGTTGTAAAATAATTTTTGTTGCTCTTGTTCTTGCGGAAAAACTTTTTTGATAACTTTTATGTATGTTATGAAAAATCACTCAGGAAGAGTGCCACCTGTTTTTTAAAATTTCCTTTGTTAATTATTTTTAATAAATGAGTTAAATACTTTTGCAATTGTTTTGTTACGTAACTCTAACCTGAAATAATAGAAGTAAAAAATCTACGATAATAATCGCAAGGTAAAGTAAGTGATGTAATGTAAGTTAGATATATAGCATAAAAAAACCCAGTTTATTTTCCTTACCCGGTCACCTCTGATAAAGTTTTACAAAAATTTTAAATTGGCATAGCATTCTTAACATCTTGTGAAAGTTTCTAATACAAACCACTTAACTGATTTGCAGAAATCTGACCTAAATTTGAAGCAATTTTTTTGTAACATAAGTTACAAAAAAATTGCTTCAAATTTAGGTCAGAAATAACATAAGTTAAGTGGCATTTTCAGTAATAAGTTCACCCTCTTTCAGCAAGACTCAAAACTTTTTAGCTTATTTTATTCTTTAGACTAACAGCTTTCATACAAAATAGGTAAAAGTTTAATTTACAGTTTAAATAGGCAAATATTTGATAAAGATATTGCGTGTGTAACGTAAGTTAAAAATGGAATTGCCCATATGTAAATAATATTATTATTTATTACAAAATTTATTAATCAAATAATATATTATACAATTATAAATAGCAATTTATTTTCTTTTTTTCCTGTTATATAAGTATTGCAAAAAATGCCAAATATAGTAAAAACATTTTTAAAAGCAAAAAGACATAAAAATAAATTAGTACAAGAATAAAAATTAACAAAATTTCTCATAGTTTTAGAGTGCATAGCAAATTAGTTTCTTAATATACAGACTGATAAAAAATTGTTAATAAATTGCATATCAAAACTTTCACTTGTTAAATTTTTATGAAAGATATGTTTTTTTTCATCAACTTGTATCAAATTCAGTAGCTAAAAATAACAACCACTCTAAAAAATAAAATACAGTTGTATAAAAACTTAAAAAAAAAATTTCTTCAAACTTTCTTGTTTTAATTATTAAATTTTCTAGTTTATTTAATTAAAACTTTTACATTATGATTTTGTTTCCTTTTTTTAGGATTGTTTTTTTTTTCTTTCTCAGTAGATAAGTTTAGCTTTTTG